TATATTGATTTATTACTCTATGGTTGCCGTGAATCATGAAATAATCAAACATTTGTTTGTATGAGATTAGAAATATTCATATTTGCATTCATTTTAACGTTGAATTGCTGTACTGTATGTAAAACTAGATTCAAATCACGAAATAAAAATCATTGTTATTTTCCATTACTTTCTACTCTCGTTAAAAATCATAAAATATATTTACTGAACATTATTTTTATCAAACCTATTCAACATTATGTCTATTATTTGGCTAATAATGAGAGTATTGAAAACGATTCGCTCGTTCTGTTACAGACTACTCTCGCTTTTCAAACCTAAAAGTAAATTAATTGCAACTGAAATATGAAAATTAATCAAAACAGTAAACTATATAATCTATTTGTTTCGTTGAACGGATCCAAAGAGCAAAGACCGAGAAGGAGAACACCGGGAGGAATGCGGACCAATTTGGAAGAGGGGGACATGCATTTGATTGAAGAGCACTTATATCTCGGTAACATTGTGGCCGCACAGGACCCGGAAGCGCTCAAAGAGCACAACATATCGTATATATTGTCGGTGTTTGACGACGAGTTGAGCGTCAAATGCGATTCATTGACTTATATGCAGATCCGTGTGTACGACATGTACGACGAGGACCTCCTCACACACTTACCCGAAGCCATTCAATTCATAGAAGCCGCGCGCGGGTCTGGCAAAGGGGTTCTCGTCCACTGCCATATGGGGTACTCGCGGTCGGCAACTGTAGTGATCGGGTATCTGATGAGCAAAACCAAACAGCCGTACGAACCCGTATACGATATGGTGAGAGCGAAGCGTCTCATTGGACCCAATAAAGGGTTTCGCAATCAATTGAGTGTCTTCGCGGAAATGGGATTCACATTGAATGCGAAGAATAGAAAATTGAGACAATTTATGGTCGAAACTCTCCTCACGTCAGACACATTTTGGAAGAAATGGGAGAACAAAGTGAACGCCTATTTTGCTCGACTCGAGCTCATCGAGAGTATGACCGGAGAGCTAGATATGGGCGCCGGATATGTGTGCCATAAATGCGGACACAAGTTATTCAATGAAATTCACGTTCAAAGGAGTACGGCTTCAGAGGAGGACGAGTGGGTGGGCATAGACTCAGACACTGTGATCGATGAGAAAGAGTCGTGCGGTTATTTCTATATTGAGCCTCAGAAATGGATGACCAGTTTGATAGGAGTGACCGCAGATGATGGCCCGGGTCTTGTCAAATGTCCCGATTGTGCTCAAGAGCTCATTGAATACAATGACATGTTTGATCCCTTCACCGCCTGTTACTGTCTCTTTCATAAGAATCTATTAAAGAGCCGACGTTTTCGTGTCGCCGACAATAAGATCAAAATTGAGTCCTAAAATGAGCTCAAATTGGACTAAAAATTATTTTATTATTAAATTATTGCTATTCTAACGTTGATTATAAATTTATAAGACAATTGATATTAAATCTCTAATTATTTATTGATATTTTCGTTATACAGTGTTATAATTGTTAACAAATCTGATAATAATTTAATAAAATTGCAAAATTATTGTTTTATATGTCATCATCTTTTTTCATTGTGTTAATAGCAAAAATGATATGAAAAGTAATAGTTATCGTTGAGTGAAATTAGTATTGATACTACAATTGAATTTAATGAGGGATAAGGTTATAAAAATAGGGCAAATGTACGTCTGATTGACGTCCAAATGAATATTCATTGCTTTGTGTCTATGGATGGCAGACATGAACCCAACAGAATAGGCCGTGTCTTACGTGACTTTATTATTAGAAACATGTTATCAATTAATTATCGATGGCTTTAACTATAACTTTAAAAATTCTTATCGCTATGTAATAAGTCTTAAAAATTCAATGTCAGGAGATTTAAGTGAGAATTAATCTGATTTTAAAAACACAATCCAATGTTAAGATTATGTGATAAAAGAGTCAGTGATTGGCGTTTTGAAGAGTCGCTAACGATATTAATACCTATTATATTAATAATACATGCAATTCATCATAATTTAGTTAATTAACGGCTTTTGTTATGATGTGATAAACAGATGTTTGTATTTTGTAATATATTTTATGGCTTATTGTTCAGCAATTATAATCTTAATAAATCATTGCATATTCTTACTTAAATAAGTACAGCATTTCATTAAAAATTTATAACACACCGCAACTTATAAACATATTATTCTGTGATTAGTAATAATTAATTTATTACAATAAAAATTACAACAACAACACAGGAAACTAATTTTGAAACACATTTCTTAGTAGTAATGATAAGGAATATTGAATCGCATTAAACAAATATATAATTAATAAACGGCTAAACAGTATTCAAATAAAAAATGCAACGAAATGTGCGGACACTTACGGACGCAGTCCTGGCGGACGTCTACCCGTAGACCACATGACGGACAGTGAGTGGCGATAATAGTGGGCGCAAGCGATGAATATTCAAATGTTGTCAAACAAATCAATTGGTTTGCGTTCGCCATTCAAAATGCAATTAAAATTTATAATTCACTAAATTATTTACTTAATTAGTTTTACTATTCAATTGGTTATCATTTCTTTTGAATTGATAACATATAAAAACTATAATATCTATGAAAATTGAAAATTTCAAAATTTAAGGCCAGAAAAAAGTTTTGTAATTCTGGATAAAAGCTGTCAATTGAAGACATGAAGTATACGAGAGAGTGGAGAGTGAGCTGTGAAGAGATGATTGCGTTTTCCCTCTTATCTAATCGGCTCTCATAGAGAATATGATTGTTTGGGAATTAAGTTTAAATACATATTAAATACATATCACAAACACAAACAGCGCTATTAATGACGTGAAACATAATTGTATGAATTATTATACAACTATATTAAAGTAGATGTACTCGTAATATATACTATATATACTTTAACATCTTATTTAATATAATGTTTAATTAATTTCTCAATGCTCTATATATTAATCAATAAATACACAACGATTGAGACGTTTAATTGAAAAACATTGGCCATAGAGTTGTGTTTGCCTTCAAAACACCCAAACATGACTGAAATCACGAACTCGTTTCACACCATAACATATACACAAAACCTTTTCGTTAAATATTACTATATTTACAAAACTTCAAAACTTTATTTTTAAAATCACTTCTAAAGGAGTCAAACGATTATATAAAAGTTAAAGCAATAAAATCTTTGTTTTTGTCAAAAAACATATTTTAACCGCTTTTTAAAAGCGCCGAAACGGGAGAGTGTTTTGACTGTTTCTAACGTTGAAACAGATTTTTCTGTTTATATTTCTTCAATGCATTCATGGATTAAAGTCACAACTCATGAGGTTTTGGCTAAACAGTCACTTCACTGACAAGACATCTAAACATCTCTAGACATTGAGTTATGGAAATGATATGCATTTTTGTTTGCATTTCTCTCCTCTTATATACTCAGCTAAGAATAGTTCACTTACCTAACAGTCTCTCTCCCCTCCCATTACTCCCTCCCTCCCTAATGCTCTCTCCACTCCTTTATTCTCTCTCTCTCTCTCTCCTGAGTCTATGCATACGACTTATTAACTAAGGGTATAAAGAAAAACCTTTTTGGTAAAAATACTCTCAAATACTGTATAAAGATTGAAAGAGAAATTTATAGCTTGAGGTATAGAAATATTTAGATTATATGTACAAAGACTGAAGACTTGAGAAAAAATATATACAGAATATAAGATATACTTGTATTTCAGTTTAAGTCTTGATATTCAATAGTATAGTCGATGAAAGGATAGCTAAAAATTGTTCATATATTTAATGCATTTAATTCATTCATTCGCATTCAATCTCTTGTATTTCGCTCTTCTCTTAAAAGACTAACAATATATCAAATTTACTGTTCATTTGTGGCATAAATAGTAATACAATTCATCCCATCGTCTCTCCTTTTTTATTATTATTTAATATTAACTACTCTTTTCATAGCCTTTGGACAAAAATTCTCTCTCTCTCTCTCTCTCTCTCTCTCTCTCTCTCTCCTTCTTATAAATTTTCTGAAGAGAAATATTCTTTAATTATTAATGATATATATCTAAAAAAGATTGTGTACTGAAATGGCAATCAAACCACACATTTGTCTCTCTTATATATTTCTATCATTCAATTCCTCTTTTATATATAACCCCCGGTTAAAGATAGTGCCTTTAAGTGAGAGAGAGAGAGAGAGAGAGAGAGAGAGAGAGAGAGAGAGAGAAGCAAATCNGAAAATTTATAAGAAGGAGAGAGAGAGAGAGAGAGAGAGAGAGAGAGAGAAGCAAATCAATAATTCTAATATTTATTAATATATTTCATATTTATTTTTACTGAAATATATTTAATTTCCTATTTTATTTGTATTTCATTTGAAAAGTGATAATCCTTTTGACACCAGCGGCTATATTAAGAGATATACAGTGGTCTTCAGTGGTTTCGGTACTTTTCTCACAGCAGTCGGTCTGATATAAAATATCGGATAATTGTCCGCTCATTAGTCATACCTCTCGTCCCACGTATTGTATGTAGTGTTCCCAGAAGCTCCCGGAATGGCAGGAGTCTCCAGGAATCGAGGTCTAGCTCCTGTCTCCCGGCGAGGGTCTCGCCTTGATATGGGGAGCTCAAGGAATTTAAAACACAATTAAGACAGTATATTTGTTGTAAAATATCAATGAAAATAATTTTGAATTTTAAATGGGTATTAGATCAGCAGATTGTTAATGTTTACCCAAAAATATTAACTCGGTAATCTACTTTAAAAATATAAATAAGTGTTCTAAAATGCAGTTATGAACTTGTAATGCAATATAAACTACAATTTATATACTGTAATAATAGTTTAAATTATTATTTTTGCTTTAAAAACGTATCAAGGAAAAACTCAAGGAATTTTCAATAAAATCTCAAGGAATCTCAAGGAAAATATAACTTAAAAGTACATTTCTCAAGGAAATTGAAATATTGATCTGGGAACACTAATTGTATGCCATCAGAAGGAGAGAGAAAAGGAAGAAATTTATGCCATCGATAAATATGTGATGTTTTAAATACATGGATAGATAAATAATACTGTATTAGAATCCTATTGCCTTCACTTAAAATATATGATGTTTTGTTTGTGTGAATACATATCTCTGTTATTTTGATGGGAGGGGAGAGGAAAGGGCTCGCATTTGATGAGCACTTGTGATGAGCCGATGGTTTTAGGGTTCAAACCATAACGAGTGGAGAAATAAATAAAAAAGCAAATTTGTCTTAATTTTGAAACAATGCGATAACAGTCTCCCAGCAAATGAAATATATATACAGAAACAACAATAAGAATAATGAACTGAAAATAATAATAATTATATGGAAATTAATCATAAAATGACAGCACTTTTTACCCACAAGAACATTATTTACCATGTACTGTATTTCCGCAATCATTTTATTAGTGAGTCTTTGAATTAATATATTCGCGGCGATGAGAGGACCGGTACTTTTGTTGTTTCATTTCATACGTATATTTTATGTGCAAATAATCACAGTCTTCACTATCACTCTAATGACAATTCCTGTATTTTATTTTAATAATTAATTAAATTTATAATAAATTTTCGGTTAAATTATTATCACAAAAATGATATAACAATTCTTCATTTCTGTTTCACTGGAATATATTTCAGAGAAATTATTTTATAATATATTTGTCATTGAATTATACGAGGAATGAAATGACAACACAAGAGATTATTATATTTACAAATGATTACTGAATGCGAATAATAAGGATTATAATTATACTGAAGGACTCTTAGAAACAAAGATGAGTTTAATTTTGATTTTAAATAAATATATTCCGAGAGAGAGAGAGAGAGAGAGAGAGAGAGATTGAAGCGAAAGAAAAACAAAAACTAATTATTTATTATAAATCGTTAGGCAAAAGACGAGCCGAGATATGCCTTCACGGGTAAAACTGCTTTCACATACTTTACTATACATAATACAATATAAGCACATTTATGTATTACATGCTACATATTCCCTAAACTTTTGTATATGGTGGCAACATTGTATTGCAATATTAATGATGATGGTGGTTATTATAGTATATGATTTAAGCCTATAATATAATTATTATAATCATTGTGTTGTGATATACCAAAAGTTTGAGAGAGAGAGAGAGAGAGAGAGAGAGAGAGAATAGTAAAGAAAAATATAAAGAATATTCTGTATAACGACTGGAGAATTGTGTAGAGAAATGTTTACCAGAATATTGTGTGTGATTATAACTCATACCATTGACTTACCTGTAGATAACACACAATAACAGCACAAATGCATTGGTA